TTTGCGCTCGCCTGGAGAAAAATTGGCCAGTTCGATTGCGCTGAAAATTCTACTACACGTTATGGTATTTTTTAGAAATGGACTGTTTTTAATTTTACAAAAATCGGATGCGAAATCCGGAAGTTTTTAGCCCCCAAAACCACCATCGTGTAAAAAATTTCGCACGATTTTTGGGTACTACTTTTTATCAAACTTCAAACAAATAATAACGCTTCCCGTTACGCGATTGCCTTCGTTTCTGGCATATAGCTAGCATGTTTTATAAGATCATTTTATCTACTATATAAAACTATACAAGGAACATGATATCTACTGAAAACAACTGCAGAATATGGAATCAAAGTTATTGAACAGCTGTTATATGTCTAGCTACGCAGCGACAAAAAACAGCGGTCATGTGATTTCGTGTATACTAGATATGTTTACTCTAAAAATTTTAATATTTTAATCATCAGCGTTTTCTTATTTTTGCCGCAAACTTTGATTTTATATTTTTCTGTTGCAATTCTTTTTTTTTTGGTTTTGTTTTTTGCTGTTGTTTTTTTTTGGGCCGGATCTTTTTTTACAGTTATGCTGTTTGTATTTTATTTTATTTTTCATTCGTACATTGACTGAAAATGGATTGCTCCCGTGGGCTGAAATTTCGCAGTTTTAATAGCTTAAATAATTACACTGTACAACTGATCACAAATCATTAATTAAGTTTAACGTTAATTTAGTTAATTACTTTAAACTGAATCCCTGTCTAAATTCCCAATTTATTCATTTTTTTTTCTCTTATGGTTGCTTATAAAGTGTAATAGAATGATGGCCTAATTACTCTAAAATCTCCGTTGCTTCAGTATAATTAAAATAGTACAGGAATTCAGTTCCGAATTTTGGAGAAATAATACTTGTTCTTTTCTCTACGCTAAATACCCTAGTTTGGCTTCAAGTCGTCGTATTGGCTTCAAGGACGTCCGTTGTTTTGTTTTTGTTAAAGAAACCTTGGAGCTATCTCCTTCTCCCACCATCAAAGAAGTGGGCTTCTTGGAATGCAAATGGACCACAAGGTTGTTGAACAACAGATACGAGTTATAAAATATTTACCTGATTTCTAAGGAGTGGACATGACTTGAGAGAGTAGAGGTCGAGGGATTAAACCAGATATATTAGAGCAACAACTGTTAAAGAGCCAGATATTTTCCCTTTGTTGTTTTTTTTTTTTTTTTGGCTAAAAGCATAATTATTTGAATGTTTCTTCTAAATGAATTACGCAACCGTCTAGTAGAGTTTTACGCCCCCCCCCCAGTGGCACAGCGGTATGCCTGCGGACTTACAACGCTAGAATCCGAGTCTCGATACCCGTGGTGGTAGGAGTACAGATAGCCTATTGTGTAGCTTTGTGCTTAATTACAAACAAACGTCATTTTAGTGTGTACTGACTGACTGACAGACAACACAATAATGTACAGTTGTGGTCCCCCCAGTGGGACAGCGGTAAGTCTTCAGATTTACAATGCTAGAATTAGAAGTTCGATTCTCCTCGGTGGACATAGCAGATAGCCCGATGTGGCTTTGCTTTAAGAAAAACATACGTATAATTGTGCGAATTGTTAAAACAGGTGACCTCCTCCAGGCGGCCTTCGCCCCCCCCCTTCGGAAAAATTACAAAGTTGACATATTACTCCTACTGTACAAAAACTAGACTTAAACATATCACAATAACTGTAGTTCTAACTATAAATAGTAGTTGTAAAACTATGTTTCTTGGCTTCTTAAATAACGTGTGTCTATGTATATATCCCTAGGAATAATAACAATTTTGAGCATGATGGTGAGTAAAACAAAATATGCTGCCTAGCTAACTAATGAATGAATATTTGCTGTAAAATTTGTATCAGTGCTATAATTGTAATTACCAGTTTGGCTGACAGTTTTGATTTCATTCCTTTAAGTCGCACGCTGAATCCTTTTTTGGTATAAGTATTTATTGAGATTCAAAAATTTACAATTTTCACAGGTTTTTCATTTTATTTATTTATTAACTTTTGCACCTACGACAAACAGACTCAAAATGTTTACTTTAAAATATAATTATTCAAGCTCACATCCATCCCACTTTTCAGCCCGAGATTCCAACAAAGAATTACCAAACCTTTTACAAATAATAATAATTAAAGAACTATTTTCTTGGCCATAAGTTTCAGCATGGATACGTGAAGTCTTCCGCTTCTCATTCAAACCGCTTGGTAAGATACATCCGGGTACTACACGAGTAATACATTTGTTTCTATTTGACACGTTTCTCCGGTTTACTGAATCCAACACGATAAGCTTGAACTGCGTGTAAAAGATTACTTGCCAATTTACCAAGGCACCACTTCAAGCTAACCAATATAACTTTTATACAAAGAAAGAGGTTAATTTCCAAAATATAGAAAATTAATATGGTTTGTTTTTAATTATGCACAAAGCTACAAAAGGGCTATCTGTGCTCTGCCCACCACGGGTATCGAAACCCGGTTTCTAGCGTTGTAAGTCCGCAGACATACCGCTGTGCCACTGGGGGGCAATTAATATGGTTAAAATAAAATTTCATGGACTGGTAGTTAAGGCGCTCAACTCACAATCTGCTGGTTGCGGGTTCGAAACCCCGTCACACCGAACATGCTCGTCCTTTCAGCCGTGGGGGGCGTTATAACGTTACGGTAAATCCCATTATTTGTTGGTAAAATAGTAGCCCAGGAGTTGGCGGGGAATGTTGACTATCTGCTTTCCCTCTAGTCTATCATTGCTAAATTAGGGACACCTAACGCAGACACCCCTCGTGTAGCTTTGCGCGAAATTCAAACGAAACCAAACCCTAGCATTAAAGTCCTCCCCCACCCCTCAAAAGCTCAGTGGTAAGTCTGAACACTAATAATGCTAAAAACCGAGCACAACACAGATAGCCCATTGTGTAATTTTGCGTTTAACAACAGCTAAACCACACCCTAGCAAAACAAAACAAAAAAAGCACAGGAACTGTATAGAAAACTTAGACTAAAGATAATATTCAGTTTCTGAAGATATCCCAGTTTGATCAGTTCCTACAGTTATATGTTTGTTTGTTTGTTTTGAATTTCGCGCAAAGCTACACGAGGGCTATCTGCGCTAGCCGTCCCTAATTTAGCAGTGTAAGACTAGAGGGAAGGCAGCTAGTCATCACCGCCAACTCTTGGGCTACTCTTTTACCAACGAATAGTGGGATTGACCGTCACATTATAACGCTCCCACGGGTGAAAGGGCGAGCATGTTTGGTGGGACGGGGATTCGAACCCGCGACCCTCAGATTGCGAGTCGAGCGCCCTAACCACCTGGCCATGCAGGGCCCCCTACAGTTATAAGTCCTTCCAGTGGGTTAGCGGTAGGTTGACTGCTAAAATTCAGGGTTCGACTCCTCGTGATGGAGAGCGCGCAGATAGCGTAGTGTGTAGCTTTGCTCTAAAACAAACAAACAATACAATTAAAATGCAAATTAAAACGACTGAATGTGTTTAATCCAAGTTAATCGCATTTACAATTATACGCTTCGGTTTTATATTATTAACCATTTTTTTAACGGGTCACAGTGATTAACATTTTCAGTCAACATATAATTTTTACGCAGTTTACTTTTTTGTGTTACTTCTTAATTTTACTTTGGTATATTATCAAAATGTAAAAATATTTACAGTAAATTTGAACCACTTTTTTGTAATTCATTATTATCACTAAAAGTTTGATGAAACGCCATTTCACTTCGCATATGCTCCCCCCCCCCCAATGATACAGCGGTATGTCTTCGGACATACAACTCTGGAAATCGGGTTTCGATACCCGTGGTGGGCAGAGCACAGATAGCCCATTGTGTAGCTTTGTCCTTAATTACAAACAAATATCAAACACTTCGCATATTCCGCATATATCGAAACCTGGTTTTTAGCGATATAAGCCTTCAAACTTACTGCTGAGCCATTCGGAGGGGTGAGGTGGAGGTATTCGTTGGTATGATATTATCTTGAAGACGTGTGATGTTTTCTTTCTTTACAAGAAAAACTGAAAGGACAAGCTTTTCTAGTAATCATTCCATCATTTTTACAGCGATTCTTACAGCGAACAAAGCACAAATAGCTCATTGCGTAGCTTTGTGCTTGGCTACAAACTAACAAAAACCCGGAATTAAATGCGTTTTTTCCCCATATTTTATACAATAAAAAAGTGCCAATCGATATTCTTAGCTCTGTAGTACTTTTGTAATGTTTTCACATCGTGGACCTCCAGTGCGGAGTGAGTGAACCAAGTTTCTTGCGAAACAGTATTAAAAATCTAAATTCTGTTTTTGGTTCTAGCTCGTCTCGTGGGAAAGAACAGTACAATTAGACTCGAATACCTAACTGACTTTGTGTCCACCTAATCGTTAAGAAAATATCGTGTGTAAACCTTATTTTATAAAGCTTGATATTTCAGGTAGTTCACAGAAAATTATCATGGTATATGCCTTAAACAACTTGGATGAACAGTCACTTGGTGATCACATTGTCTCAAAACTCGTTCTTGTATCGATCGGAAACAGTCATGAAACTAGTGTTTTTATTCGTAAACAAAAACAAGATATCTCGTAAGAACATTAATAACGGACAACGACTTTTAGCTCTTAATAACTGCACTGAAAACCTTTCTTTGAGGAATCCAGGCTCTTGCTTAAACAAACAAAACAACACTAAAGTATGAAACATTCCTTTTGATAAATGATCTGATATATAACAATATTAATATCTAGCGTTTAAACCGCATGTATTTTTGACAGAAAGTATTTGTTGTTTTTTTATTTTATATACTGTTGTTATAAATCCAGTGCAATATATATATATATATATCTTTAAATCGGGATATTTTATCAAACAACGTTTTTTTAAAATTGTTTGTAATAGTCCTAGCTGACACTAAAAACGAAAAACATGTGTTGCTTAAACGAAAAACACGTGTTGCTTAAACGAAAAACACGTGTTGCTTAAACGAAAAACATGTGTTGCTTAAACATACCATTCATATCAATCGAACGAATTAACTGGCATTATATAGAAGTATGAAATATTTACTGGAAAAGCACCGCTCGCTCTGCACGTGGAATATAATATAACATTGTTCACACTTACAAACTACCGAAGAGGAAACACTTTCATCCTTACATTAGTTTTTTTTTTTTAATTCACTTCACTTGATCCGTACTTTAGACTGACAATTCTATCCGTTTGCACAAAAATCCGACTAGATTCGATGAGAGGATATTAGTTTTTCACACTAGTTTCACACCCACTTAAATAATATCGTTTCACTCTTCCATAACTTGGACTGTAGTCATAGTGTTAAAAGTCACATTCTTTTTGGATTCGTGAGAACCATCACCGCTGAAAGATTTCGGCTTCTTTAACACTGACTTTGGCTTGGTTTCTAGCCCGTTATCGGACTCGTCGCTTGTCAGGGACCCACATCTGATTAAGTGAGAAGCACGAGACTGAAAACCCACATTTTTGAATTTCTTCGATTTTAACTGATCCAACAAAATTGGAGAACCTTCCAAAAGCTCCAGACGAGAGCCAGAGCTGGGGTACTCACTTGACACGTACATCTTGCTGTCTGTTACGCCATTTGGGGATTTGTTCCCAAACACTTTTTTTAGCACGCCACAATGGATCTGTGGATCACCACTTCCTGCTTTATTCATCCACCTTGTATATGGCACAGCAATCCGGTTGTTGCTGTTGCCATCCCTCCACGACTCCTGATGCCACAAGTAACCATCACGAATTGCCAAACTGCTTCTATTCCTCTGTCTGTTGAGATGACATTCAATAGATTTTACTGCCTCTGGATTGGAGTGATTCGAAGTATCGGCTCCTAGAAGATTTCTTACTAGTCTTCCCAAAGAAACTTCACCGGCAGATCGATGAGGAGACAAGCCACGACTGACCCTGGAGGACTCCCGTTGTTTTTCGTCGGGACGTGAGACCAAAAGTTTGGCAGGCTCGCGTTGTCGTGTCGATATAGGCTTGCGGTCACGACTTGAACGCGTTACAGCTACCAGAACTTCCCGGTTTACGTTTTTCGTCGAGTCTTCTACCTCAGCGGGGACCTCTATCAAACCTTTGTTTTCTCTAACGTCATTGAAGGTTTGCTCTTGAACCCAAGTTGGCGGGTTAGATGTTTTAAGTTTTTCTGCTGTCTGACTAGATTTAGATATTCCTTGTTTCGTGACCCCTCTTGGAGGTCGTGGCGGCGGTGTTTTCTTCCTGGTTCGAGGTGGCACTTTGGGCTTTTCTTCTGTTGTTGGAACATTGGAATTTTGGTGAGACTCTCGATGTTTTCCAGGGATTGTAGAATCCGGATCGTTAACAGCAATTAATTTTTCGTCCTCTTCCGTCTGTGAAATAAGCGTTATTTTGATATGTGGACATCCTGCGGGTCTTACTGTCTTGGGCTGGTCCACAGACTTTTTAAAGCTTAATCCTTCAGCAACGAGAAAACTTGTATTGTCCCCATTCTCTCTTTTTTTAGGGCCATAATCGGGGACATTAATGTCTTTCCACTTTTCTACCATCTCCTGGAACATGTGATACAACTGGACGACATCCTTTTCCATT